CTCGTAATCTTAAAACAACGAGGCAAAAGGTGCACTTACATCATCTGTTTCCACAGACATTAGCTCTGTTTCTATGGCAACAGAAGACTGTTGATGAGGAGATGGCGTGTTCAGATTCAGGCAGCAGCAATGCATACAAACTTTAAACCCCTGATAAGGATGCAGGTCAAGGACGAGCTTTAATGCAGAGCACAAACAGACCTAACGAGCCTACCTGCTGATGGACGGCTGTCTGCTCTCTGCCCTCTTTCCCACCAGGAAGCAGCGACTTCAGCAGCCTGGGTACGGCCTTCACTAAAGGGAGAGAAGAAGCAGTAAAGCCTGAATGCTCTGCAGAAGGAGGAAGAGGAGATGGAGAAGGGGGGGCAAAAAAAAAACAAAAAAACATTTTTGAGAATAAAAAGTTTGGCCCAGACTAAAGCATCAGATACACAGCTGATGACATCAAAGGTCACACAGAGGGCGTCTTTAAATAGCTGTACCCGTCTCTGCGTTCAGATTCTGGGACAAGGAGCTGGGAAGTGTGCGTCTGGAAGGAGGCGGCGCCGCCACAGAGAGGTCGTGATGACTGTCCCAGGCCTGCAGACACGATGAAGAGCACTTTAGTCTTTGTGGGAGCAACAGCCAATGGCTACAAGCACAGCTGCAATACAGCTCCATCCATACATTCATTGCATTAAGCTAAATCTTCTATTAATACAGTTTTAGGAGTTTCAACCATTTTTAGTTTGTTTTTGTTACCATTTGTCCACAGTGTTTAAGTCATTCACTGAGGTTAAACAGATTACTGGTATATAACAGTATGTATTAAATAGGGGTGGGTTTAAGTCCTGGATCGAAGTATAAATGTATTTTGGCAGAATCTCAGATTAAAGCTCACAAAACTGTTTCATTAACTGCCCAACACCTAAAACAGCAAACGTTTAAAGAACAAGTAAAAAGGAAAAGATGTAAACGGAGCGTGGATCGTTCACCCCACGGCGAACGATGATATTATTAGCACCATCACAAACATGCAGTTAATTAGCAGGAACACCTGGAGTGTAATGAGGTTGTGTTTACCTCAGAAGTACAAGCAGTTACCAAAGAGAAGCTGACTTCAGTGTCTCACCTTGAAGTCTTTGAGCTTAAGAGGGGCGGAGCCAAGATCCAGGCTGCTGCCTGACAGCTGGGTCAAAGGTTAAGTGGTTAGAGGTTAGTGAGGCAGACTGATGATGAGACTGGTTGTTGACAAAGGCAATCAAGACAGAAAACCCAGAGTTTAAACCAGCCCCAGGTGAGTCGCTGCTGCCAACAGCAGTATAAAGATTTAACAACAGCAGCACCGAGCGAGAACAGGGTAAAGCGAGAAGACGGTAAAGCGAGAACACGATAAAGCGAGAACAGGGTAAAGCGAGAACAGGGTAAAGCGAGAACAGGGTAAAGCGAGAACAGGGTAAAGCGAGAAGACGGTAAAGCGAGAAGACGGTAAAGCGAGAAGACGGTAAAGCGAGAAGACGGTAAAGCGAGAAGACGGTAAAGCGAAAACAAAGTAAAGCGAGAACAGGGTAAAGCGAGAACAGGGTAAAG